GGGTATATAAAACCCAAACAAAATCACACAGACTCAGTCATCCTTTTTGATTTGTTTTTCAGTTGCCGATACCGATTTGTTCTCAGCTTTTTGATATCAATTCCGAGTTTCTTTTTATCGCTCATCATTTATCCAAACTGACGATGACGATAATGACCTTAAAAGCCATACTTAGATTCATTGAGCATAACTTTTCTCTCTTCAATTCAGTAACTAACGATGAGAGGAAATTTCATCTGACTTCGAGTAGCGATAGAAGTAGAATAATTTAAATGACATATGAATATTAGGTGGTTCCGTATAATAACTTGAATAATTCGTATAATACTAGGCGCGATGTGCTGGCATTCAAGACCTCAGAAGGTTAAAACATTTGAGCTTCATAATGATACTCACGACCAGCAGTGAAACATTTAAGGCCGCTTGCGTACGGGAATGTTCCAAATTCTAATAGACTATCTCACCCCCAATACTATTTGCATAAGCTTACCAGCTATAAGCTAAAACATTTTTGATTTTTAATGGGAAACTTTGACGACAACGCGCTAAGAATCCTAATCAAAGTAGATGGATGATAGAACAAAATATTAACAAGAAGATGATTAGGGAACCGCTTCGTGATATCAATGAATGAATCTAGTTTTGCATAGACAATATAAATTGAGGTGTTTAATAGGTATAACGATATGTGAACATAAAAAGAATGATACGATAATCAAGTGGTAGGTTTACCTGTAAAGAGATGAATTTTTCACGTGCAACCGATATATATGGATATATGAAGAGTGCTTTTTTGTGAGCACTTAACACTGTGTTCACCGCTATCAGCTCAGCTATCAACGTTTTACCAGAACTTGTTGGAGCTGAATAAAGTAAATTTGCATATTCAGGTTCTCGTAGCTCACTTTTTGAGAGTAGTTCCATTTGCCATTCGAATAATGACTTGAGACCATTTTGACGATACGCTAACAACAGTTCCTTTCGTATCCATTTTGGGAACTGCTCCATAAAATTCCTCAAAAATAAAACAATTAGCAGCAATTCACCAACAAAAAACCTAAATTATCTATGTTGCGTCCACAACCACGCGAGATTACGAGGCCGCTTGGCTAAACAAACACCCGGATTAGTCTCCTCCGATTTTGACGGTTCACAAAAACGACACATACGTCTACTTCGTAACAGCCACTAATATTCTTGATTGCTCACCAGCCACAGTAAAAAATCGATGTTCGAACTAAATCTTATCGTTAGTAAAACTGTAGTTAATTATCAAAGGCAACAGTTAAAATGTTACTGTTTGAAAAAAAAAAACTAAAAATAAGCAAAGTAAATGAACAATGTACCTCGCGAAACGTTTAATCAATACAACTAATGCGCATCAATCAAATATCCATCCGTACACTGCATAAGGCGATCAAAACTGTTCACTTCTAAATGTTGACGTGGGTAAACTTGAAGAGATGTATTCAAATAGTATTTTTTCGCGCATTTCTGCACCATTCAAAATGCATCGAGCACTTCTACAACGAAGAGTACGAATTTTGCTTAGCAGAATGGGGTGTGGCCTATCGCTCGCTAAGTTTTACATAGAAAAACAGCTGGAAGCTCACGTAGGCAAGTTGAGCGCTGAATAGAATTTGTAAAGAGGCATTTATTGTTGCTGAGAGCCGTCGTAAAATGTTGTCGAGAGTTTGTGTGGTTCGTGGAAATGCGGCTGCTTTGCTGCAGAATTCACTGCGGATGGCATCTGCGAAAATCCGTAAGGAACGAGACACTTTCGGTGAACTCGAGGTACCCGCAGACCGATACTATGGCGCACAAACAGCACGGTTAGTCCGTTCGTTGACCTGATATCTTTATCTCTTCACTGGAATTTCTCTTGCTTCCTGGCTAATACTAGTTGTTTGTTGTCCATCGAATTTCTTAGGTTTTATATGCAATATACACTGGAATCTGATCTTATTATCCTTCTGATGTTATTCGGTGCTGATGGCAAGGTAATTACAGTATTTAAGCAGCACTACAAAAAGAAATGAATTTTATCCGTTACTTTACTCAGTCTTCATGGTCCATATCAAAATGTTTATGAATCTGAGACCTTTGTTTCTGTATCATCAGCAGTTTCTCCTTGATTCAAACTTCCACTCAAACACCGTAATCTTCGTCGTTTGTTGCAGGTCCAAGATGAACTTCAAAATTGGAGGCCCTGAAGAACGTATGCCATTG